ATAACGGGGAACAGCTCATCAGTGCATTTTGGATTCTATTTTGTATATAACTACAGAACAAAATAACTCATGTAGACAACAGTTCTTAAGGATTATTATGAGCTGCTCATTGTTGAATAAGAATAGTAAAACATGTAAACTATGTATTATATTTTTTTAAAGGCCGGTAATGAGAGAAACCTCCTTGGATACTGGCTGACTTTCTTAAAGTGCTGGACAGCCGGGTAAGTGGCCAGCTCAGTGATTGGGTGTCTAATTGGATAACAGTCTGGGTGGGTAGACACAGACAGAGCAGACTAAGATGTAGCAAGATAAGTAAACGGACAAAAAAAAAGGATCAACAGCGCAGTGAAAGATGCACATGAAATGACTCATCACACCTTACCAACACCCAGTCAAGGTCACAGATTGGGGTGATGCTCAATCAATGTCTGTTGTGTAAGATTATGTCTTGTGCCAAACACACAACCACTGCACGCAGACACAAAGGATGAAAAACACAACAATAAAAGGTCAAACTTTAAATGTAGGAAAATCAGTGTGTATGGTTATTATTTAAATTCTCAATTACACTCTAAAAGACTAAACTTCAAATATAAAAGAGCACAACAAGACCCTTTATTTTCTTTTTTAAATATGTCTATTTCTCACCACATCTGCAGACAGGCAGTGTCCTTGAAGATAGGGGTCACCATAGCAGCTAAGGAGAGGAAGAAATGTGCACACACACACACCTCTCCTTGTGCTTCGGTGTGTTCAGGTGTAGATGGCAATTTCCCTATATCAGACAGTATCGCTAAAAATGTGACAAAATGCACCTAAAAAAAGTATTCCAGGCATGATACCTTCTTTTCCGAACTGCTACAATTAAGTAAGATTGATTGTGATATGTTTTATTGACCTACACTGAAGTCTGACAGAGCAAAAATCCATGTTTAATTTCTAATGGGATTTAAATGCCAGGCAGAATTAGGATGTTAAAACAATGTTGCTGAACTTTCAGCCAAACAGACAGGCAACCAAAACCAGGGAACAAAGGAACTGAGGAGGCAATATTTGACTCAGGGCAGGCAGCTCCTCTCATCTTACACGTGTCGATGCAAATCTACCGAAGCCAAGATATCACAGAAAGAACAAGAGGGGGCTAACATTTCACTTGTCCAATTTCCCATCAATAAAGGCAACTCCCCATTGATGTCACAATCTCTCTTTTTCTTTTGCTGAATGGGCAAACGGCCTAAAGCACTTATAAAAGCTTGGAAACAGCTTTAATGTGTTTATTACAACTCAAGTTCACTTACCAATTTCAGATACAATAACGCAGACAGAGACGCAAGGCATCTTGGTAGTCTATTAAAAGCATGAGGTGAGAGCCTCGAGGGGTGAGGGTCCCATCTATTATTTAGGGGCTGCTGACACAGACACATAGACGGCCAAGGCAGAGAACGCACTCTCTGCAGCAGTCTGGGTTAAAATCATTTGAAATGTTGCTGAAAATAGGACCTTTACCTTTAAAGCAATAATGATTTTGACATCACTAACATCCTGATTTAAGATTTGCATGATATCATTGGTATTTCCCAAAGCATGCAGCCTATTGTTACATAGCACTATTAAATGGTATACCGTCATCATACTCTCTTTCACTCATTTTTACAAGTCGAGGAGGTCCCATCATGGGTAATACAGTTTGTCTTTTTTTTTCTTGAGCATTATTAGAATTCCCTTTTTTTAAACCTATAGCCTCTCGTATGAAAAGCAACATTATATGTAACACAATCTGAGAGCTAGTCGCCCGGTGCTTTGAAAGCCATCGTGCACCTACCGGTCGGTATCAGAGGGCCAAGTGAAGACAAAGCAGCAGGGGATGAGCTGCGGGATGACAGCGGCACAAAAGCCTTGCGCTCCTCCGAACAAAGCGGGCTTGCCGGCAGCTTCAGCATCCTCGCTCATTACTTTGCAACTTCCTCAGCATCGTTTCCACAAACTCAACCCGGACTTCAACTCGCAGCTACAATCCAGAGGTTCGACTCAAAGAGACGCGGAGCAGCCAGTCATTCAGAGTCACCGGAGGGACCTTAAACTGTGAATGGCCGCGTGCATGACTGAATCAGAGAGATGATGCCTTCACGTACTCCTCGTAAATCCCCACTTCTGCTTTCTCAATATAAAGCAGGGCATTTTACAATCATTGTTGGTGGATTACAACAAATCAGACTCCCCCGTCGTAACTTTAAGTTAAATGTTACAATTAGCAAACGTTATTTTTGCACAATTATCACTTGTTATCATGATATGTAACTTGATTGTTTCTTTAAATAAGTATAAAATTATCATAAGAGCGGTATTCTACCTTTGTTGAAGTAACTATCAAACAGTTAAATCACCATGTCTGCAAGACTGTCAAGGGTCTATTTTCTTTCCTAACGTTATAACATGAAGCTAAAATATAACAACAAAATGTACAAGACTAACTGCACCACCCTCACCTTTAAAGACTCCAGCTTGAGATTGAGAACTACTACAACAAAACAGTTTAAGCATCACCACCTTCGTGACGCCAGGGACTCTTTCACACTACAACAAAAGTATTATGCATGTCCAAGTGTGTATGTCCGCAGCCTGTAACCCGTCTCCACATGTCCTCTTCAGACTCACGCATAGCAGATACATGCAAAATGACTCTCAGTATCGTAATATTGGAAAGGTAATCTCCTGACTCCCTCTATATTCCAATGGTCCATGGCTCCAGATGGAGACATCAATTGGTCACCTCCGGCTTTAAAATGTTTTCATTTTCAGAATAATTGTCACTAGCAATTCAGATAATACACAGTTAGGGATTAACCATCGAGGCATCTGTCTGTACTACAACACCAACCTCCCGTCCTGCATAGTGAATGTATCCGCTATACAAGACATTTACATGCACTGTATCTGGATAGTTTTTCCATTCATGAAATGATGTAGGATGTCAATAACGTGGATGACAATTTAATTCAGAACCAAACCAAATTGATTTAGTTATTTGTGGTAGTTAATTATGAGGGACAAAAAATGACTAAAGTATAAATAAATTAATAAATGTTGGGAGAAATGCATACAATAATATATAAATAAATAAATAATTAAATAAATGCATCAATAAATATATAAATGCTGAAAACAATACATCAATGAATAAATAATAAATACACTTTGTTAATGAAAAAGGCTATTTATATAATTTTACATGTATTTATTCATTTATTAGCGTATTTCTACAGGTATATATGTATCAATGCATACATTTCCACATTAATTGAGTTATTAATTTATTTCCGTATTTTTACATTTACACATCTATTTATTTCTGTGTCCAGGTCGTAAGAGGAAACGTATATATGTAAATTTGCTTCTGTCTGTTTTTCAAAATTGACCAATCTACTTCAGTAATGTTAGGACGGCCCACTTAATTTACATATTTACTTTTCCTTGTACAACATGGACACAGAAATACATTAATTAATTAATTAATATATTTAATAATATATTAATTTTTACATGAATTGTTGCATTTATTTATATACATATTTATTTATATATTTATTTATGCATTTATTTATTTATTTATTTATTTATACATTATTGTATGCATTTCTCCCAACATTTATTAATTAATTTATTTATTTATACTTTAGTCATTTTTTGCCCCTCATAGTATGTTAATCAATTATACAAGTGCAAAATGCAAATAAACAGAATCTCTGATATAATTGACCAAAACCAGGATCACATAGGGGGTCATCTCAGCACATAGTCATTACGTTAGCTTAACACAGAGATAATATATTCAAAGAACATTAATGTATGTTATCATTAAAGACTTTTCTACTTGAACACAAACGTTGACATTTTAACTCTTCATATTTCACTGCAGTTAAAGAGATAAACTGTATTAATGTGTGGAGTGACTGAATACATTTCAAGGCTTACCTTAAAGTATGCTAGTGTAAACATTGTTGAGTGTGAACAAACCCAACAAAATAAAAGGTAATAAGTAAGTCACATCTTAATCACAGAGACTTTAGAGTTGTTAGTTAGCTTACTGCGAGTTAGCTTTAAGCTACACTTCTTCCGTCGGGTGACTAACGTTAGCTGTCTGCCTATTTCAAAAACTGTTTAACACAACTTCTGTTTACCTCCTTGCATTATATTCCGATTAGACGATTTGCCGAAACAGCCCACTTTGACTCAAATGTGTTGAAGACAAGAGTATTCCCGTAGGTGGCACAGCCTTACATCAACTCCATTTAGCTGTAGATCTTTGTTTTGGTGTTGGAAAGCGAGATTCACGTGAAATATCGCGAGATAATTGCACTTCCCAAGGGAACCCCGTTTGCACTATGGGTTTGCACCATAGACTCTTATATTATTATTTACAGTCTATGGTTTGCACCGGTTTGATCCGCAATAATTAAGCGAGATTTGTATATCTGTGGTCTTCAATGGTATTCAGCCTAAAGTCTAGGGTACACTCATACGCACACAAGCACAAAAACACAATTTTATACGCAGATATCAGAATTTGCCTTAATATTAGACATGAACAACCAAGACAACACTTCTTAAAATATATTTTTTAATTTTATGAATATACACAAATTTAAATGCTTAACATAGCCCTCCATGTAAAGTAAAGCAGTCTACAGTGGACAAGTGTAGGTCCGGTCTGTATGTCTGTTTTGTAGTTTTACAGAAAACATATATTTTTTTAAATAGCTTAAAAGTGAAATTTACATTAAAAGAAGGAAAAAAATGCCCGTTAGTAAGGTCAATGTCAAATGATCAAAAAAAAAACGACAACAAAAAAAACATTGTTGGTCCAAAAATAAAAGTGCAAATACAATTGGTAAGATTCCCCTCGCCCATGCTGTTTACCTTTATCAATGTTCATACATAGCAGTTTCATAAATAATAAATAAATACAAAAAAATAAAAAATGTCCAAAATAAATAAAAAATTGAATCAGATAAAATAGGCCTAAATAAAGAAGACGATCCTAAGATTTTGCAATAAGAAATTTGGAAATGTTGCTGGGACTAACGATGTTCAAATAGCATCAAACAAAATCATGACTGTTTAGTTTTGAGAAGTTTATCCAAAAGCTTCAAAGCGTACTGGATCTCCTCTGGTGTCAGGTCGCTCAGGTCGGGCAGCTCTTGGGGACGCGGTCTTCTCCTCAACCGGCTCGCCTCCTCGCTGCTGCCCCTGCCCGGAGCGGTGTGGATGCCCCGGAGCCTCATCTGCAGCCAATCCCGACGCTCCTGCACCTGCTGGAGCTCCCCGATGTTGTGCATGAGCTGGATCTCACTCACCGTCCTTTTTCTGTACACACACAGTATCATGAAATATTCGTCAGTTCAATACTGAAAAACAGACTGTTAAAAATATATATAAATAGAGCTCAAATAAGGCAATGGACTTGGACTGGTGAGGGTAATCTTAATTGATCTTAAATACTTAAGTGGTAGGAGGAGATAATTACCTCAGGGGACGCCCTTCACAGAACGTGAAGACGTGTAAAATGCAGAGAGACGTGATCAAGATTTTAGAGTCCAGATTCTGCATGTTGACCTGTATCAAAAATTCAAAAGATTAATTCAAAAGCTTTTAATGTTGTAAATTTACAAACCTTTCTCAGCATCAAAAATGTCTGACATAAATTAAAATGTCTCATGTTAAAATAAGCCATTGCATATAAATTCATTTATTAAGGGTAACATTTTAAGTGTTTTTTTATCCTAAATTTATATTTCCCCAGATCTGTTTAACGCTCAAACACATCATAATTCATCTGAATAAAATACATTTTATCAGAAACAAACTTAATTGAAGGTGTGTTCAGCATACCTGCTCTGTGATTACTTCTCCGCAGTTTGCTAAAAGTTGATGAGTACTGGTGGAAATAAAGAGAAGCCAGTGTAGCCAGTTATGATATGCATGGGACTCTCCAACTTCCTTTTATAGCTCGCCGGCCCAGCCATTGATGAGCTGACTTCATTATTGCTGTTGATGTCACACCTCAAGCTCCTGGAGGGGGCAGGCCAGGAATGACAACACCTCCTTTGAACTTCAGGCTTTCAACACTGTTATACCAGAACAAACTAATGGCTTTGCATGGTGAACCAAATCCACCCACACCCACCATATTTTCAAAAATACACACACCAAAATTCTAAATCTTTAAAGCTATGAGTTTCCCTGACAGGAATGTTTTGACTTTTAAAGAGTTTGGTTCAATATGAGATTTATCTTTGAGGTAACACAACATTATAATCCTAATTTATACAGTATATATGTTATTATAGGCCTATTTTTGATTAAGACTGTAGCACAGAATTTCTCTCCTTTTTTTAAATTCTGCATACTCTTCTGTCTGTAAAGTAGTCCACATCTGCTGTGACCTTTAATTGTCTGCCCCACAACAAAAGCGGCAACATTTGGATGGATTTATGACTGTCGTTGGCCATTAGGGGGTTTCCCTGGTTACATAGACTCTTGACTCAAGAATTAACATTGTTTTAATGAGTGGCCTTCCAAAAAAAAGAGCGTTCACACAGACCTGACGTCAGAGAACACTTCCTGAATTGAAGAGTAATTTGGGAGTTTAGGAGCTGTGTCATAGGTGATGCAGTTACTGTCACTGTGTTGGTCATCAGTGTTTTGTGTGTGCGTGTGCGTGCGTGCTAATAGAATAGAAAAGAATAGAAGAGAACATTTATTATTAAGCTCAGTGTGCTTTACATTAAGGAGAAATTCACAGGAATACAAGAAACAACTGTTAGTTCTGCAATCATGAATAAGATTCAGAAATCAAATCAATAAATTATTAACCCAATGTTCACAGCACATAATCAAACACCAAAAAGCATTAAAATAAAAAAAAGATAAAATAAAAAATACATTGAATGACATCTAAGAAAAACAAGATGTTCCATTGTTAATGAAACAAGGAAACATATTAAGAAGCTATTCATTTCATTTTTGATATTTGCAATTTTAATAATAATTTGCTTAAGGGAGTCCCAACCAGAGGTTGATGCTTTATGGGGGTCTTTGGCATGGCAAAGGTTGGGAACCCCTGGATTATATAACAGTGGATTGTAAAACATGTTTTGTAAACCTATACCGAACATATAGAAACACATAACAAAAATATGCATTTATAATTTACTCTAATCACTATTTATGCTTAAAAAGAATTTTTACAAGATATGACCCTTTGCGACAGTGTAACGTAAACAAAGTAAGAAAGAAACTGATTCTGTGTACCCTTTTTTAAGGGTCTTTAACGGAAAAAGCAACACACAAATAGCCATGATTTATAGATCTAGTTGTAGATTGTTTGGTATTAGCACATTTAAAAAAAAAAAAATTCCATTAAGATATTTGCGCTGTATAATTGTATTTACAATCATAACCTTTGCAAAGAAGTTTTGCAAAGATCTCTTAGTCATCTATTTTTGACAAATAGAAGAAGTATTTATAATCTCCTTTTATTAAGTTATTACTCCACTTCCTTTCATGTAAATAACTCCTCTACATTTATCTCACTACTGTAGTTAATGATCACTATTCAAACAGTCTTTTTTGGAATACAAAAGTGTCAAAAGTCTTTTTACATAAATTAAGGTCATTAAGTTGGTTGTTACCTTACTGTTGATATATTAGCAAAAGCCCCTCTAGGTAGCACTTTTATAAAATTACACACTAGTCTCATCTAAGAAAGGAATATAAATTTTAACTGTCCGTTGAATTTTAGGTCTCTTCGCTCCCTCCCATCCCTCTCTCTCAATCAGGTATAAGTTATACAGTTCAAGTGTAACGTGTGCATGATGATCATCCCTGACAAGTCAAAATGAATTTACAATCCTCATGTACTGCTTCGTCCTTCCAGTCCCATGAGAGAAAAAAGAGCATGACGACACCGGGTGAGAAGGTGGACTATGAGATTACGTCAGGCATCTCAAAGATTTGTTGGTCATGTTTATTTCCCTTTCAAGTGTAAATGTTTGAAATTCATCTGTAAATGTGTATACATTTCAACTAAATTATTTTTTTTAAAGCGCTATGATCTGTCAAATTCTTACAACGCCTTTCATTTAAACAGTTGAGAATGAACCATCAAAGTTTTTGAAGCTAAATAAAAAATGATAATACTTCTTAGACTTTCATTCCACATGTTGTTTCATAAACAAAGGGCACTTATTCCAATTGTTTACAAAGCAGCTTTAAAAGATTTAGGGTAAACGACGAGGCCCTACATAGACATTGACCCCCGCTTGCTTACCCGTGATACTATTACGGTGGCCACGGCCTGTTTAGATGACACCCGCTGAACACTTTGACCTCTGAACTTAGCTCAGGTCCTAAACCATGCCGCCACCATTACCTCATGCTGTCACAATGTGTAGCATGTTACCCGAGGTATGCATAGGCGAAAAAGGTGCATGGGAAACATTGCAGGAGCGATTGCAAGTCAGGTGCATCAGTAAAGCAAGCAGGTGCCTGAGACTTAAGAATAGTAGCAGTAGAGTAAATAAGTAGAAGGGGACTTCTATTTCAGATTAGGCGTCGACTTTTATAGAGGGTGACGTCATGTCCTGAGATGGCTGACAGGCAAGATAAATTACATTTCAGAAATACTGACGTCTCAAGTCACTCAGGAAAGTGCAAAGACAACAAGAACGCAATGCCTTAAAGATGTAGGATGTACCAGGTGGATTTTATCTTTATGTGTGAATAGATGGCTTATTGGCACACATATTAAAATGGGAAAACTTCTATTCAACTTCTATTTCTTATTAATCCCAGAGGGAAATTCGATTGTTACAGTTGCTCCAAAATATACAATATAGCAGCAGAAATAATAAAGTAATAAAAATATTAATAAAATAGAATAGGAATGTAAGTAAGGTATGAATAATAGGTACAAGAAATATTTACACGAATAAGAGTCAGATGGAATATATACACACATTGAATTTCCCTCTGGGATTAATAAAGTATTTCTCACTCCCTCATGACTGCATGCGCTTGCATTTTGCATTTTGCACATTCAGATCCAGAGTCTGTCCTGAAGGGATTGGGTGAAAGAGCTCCATTATTGACGTCACTCTGCTTCTGCAAACGAAACCACATATTCATCTTACCAAAGAAACGACAAAGATCCCTTAGGTCAGTGCAGCGAAACAGATTCCTGTGTCAGCTTGAAGCAGACACTCAAGATTATGTAAAATCCAATGACTCTTTTGTAAGTGTCCTTTATGTTTCTTCAAGATGTTTCTCCTCTACTCCACAAATCAATTGTACATAGTGCCACGAGAGCCGCATTCACAACAGAGCTGCACAATCATGGAATTGTACCCCTTTTTATGGCATCCAATAACTAATTAAAAATAAACTTTGCAGAAAAAAAGAGGACTTGAACATAAATCTGATACATTTGTTCAGTTAGATAATAATTTGTCACCACAACAAAATCATGTTTGAGAATTTTTTTTTTTTTAAGTGTAATTAGATTTTTTAAGTCTGTTAACATGAAGGGGGCGGGCTTTTTGAATTATACCGCAGCCCGTCAGTAGGTGGAGCTCTAAACCTTTTGGCATCACTGAAACTGAGGTGCAGCGCTCTACACTCTTAAAACACATTATCTGACGTTAGCTCATTATACACTAGAAACAGTTAACGGCCTATATGTTCATTCAGAGTTTTTTTTTTATCTGTCGACCTGATAAATGTAAGCCACACGTTCTTTCTTGTTTCTCCCTCTGTTTTTCCCAAACCATAACAGTAGGCTGCTAGCTGCTCTACAAGCAAATATACCTAACCATGTCTCTCTGCTGTTTGGTGCAGTGCAGGTAGTGTACAGTATCTTTGTCAGAGTTCTTAAGCTAAAGGTTGTGTGTGACTATATGTACCCTAGAAGTAAGGTTAACCCTAGAACACTAACTAACAGTTTTGTAATACCATCACTAACCTGATTTAATAAACCCAATAAAATACACTTCCCATGAAAATATTTTAAAGTACAACAATAGATGGCAAATTGAAGTATTCTTCTTTTATTTCCCCTTATATAAACTCTCATAAAACGATAAAAAGGTATAATGTGTGTGTGTGTGTGTGGGGGGGGGGGAATTTGGGAATCGTTAATTAAAAGTCCTTCAGAAAAAAAAATGGAGCTGGGAACTTGTTTTTCAGTCCACTTTGTTTCCTTGGACATGTGAGCATTGTATAGTGAAGGATAAGTCTCTCACTGCATTACCGACAAGTGTGGGAAATATTTTACTCACTATCACTAACGTCACTAACTAAAATCACCCGAACAAGTGCCTGTTGAAAAGACCAGAGATTGGAGCAGGGAAACACGCTTCAATGACGTCAGGGGGCAGTCTGAAGGTACCCAGGCAACTCAGACAGCAGCTATACAATACAATTCAAGTGATTGTGGTCACTTGAATTGTATTGTATGGTGAAAATCACCCAACGTTAGTGTTCTAGGGTTAATGGGAACAGATTGTTCATCTGAAAACCCAACAATAAGGGAAAAGAGCTAAAAGGCTAAGCTATGTGGAAGTGAACTGAAAGTGGAAAGATAACTCTCAATCATTTCTGGGAGCACGCTTTTAATTTTTCACTGTAAAAAAGTTGTAGTTTTCAGCAGCTTCCCGATTAATATTAATCATTAATTTTGTTAATATAATAAAGTTCTATTGATTTCAAAATTCAGAAAAAATATCAAGGAAAACTTCAAATGAATGAAATAAAAGCCCAACATAATTTAAGGCCCAGTCCCTTTTACTAACCTGGTGCATACGTTAAAGGCTGGTCTCACTTAGAGACCCCTGTACTTTTAGTTTTTAAATAATTTGTTGCTTTAAAATTAAGGAGAAAAAGCAGAATTGTGATTTATTTAATTTGTTTATTAATACCTTAATTTTTACAAATTTAAATATTATTTCTTGTGTGAATTTACAATTTTTATAGTCTGTTCCAATCTTGTTGTGCACAAATGTTGAAAGAAAGTAATTAAAAGTCTGTCTAATATTGATGCCTGTTCCAAATAAAGACAGGGCCAATTGTTAAATTAAAGTAAATAAAACCCTGGGCCATTAATAGACGTTTTACGGTATTCAGGCTTGCAAATCTGTCAATAAAACTGTGCACCTCAGTGTGATTGGCATGATTAATTGTTTAGGGTGAAGGGTCGGCACTGTGAGCTCATGTGCGTAACAGGCAGTTCTTTACTACAACTTGACCTCCTTTTCCTGGAACTGTCCTCCCTCTTATGGCAGTGCACCATCATTTTACTGCCACCAGACACCCCCACACCAGACCACTAGCAGTGCCTAACTCCTTCCTCTTAGCTGTATTGATTGATCAAGCATCAAAAAGCAAAGTTATAATTGTGTTATCTGAAGGAGGCTGGCTGTTGAAAAGGACTCATAACAAACCAACAAACCTACATAAATGGATTCACAGCAAACTGGAGAGCTTAAAATGAATTAACCGCCTGCCTCTGGAGTTTTGTTTAATTTTCCATTTTTCTGCTTTCTTAACAGGTTTTATCAATTGTGAGTGATAAGGAGATGGGAGGTAAAGTTCTAAAATGCTGGTGTATTGCACATTATTGTTAGCTGCTGGTGTAGCTGCACATATCCCCATTTCACAAACAATCTACATAATTATAGAGATGTTTATGCACATACTACTGCACAGGGTGTGTGTATGTATTTATGTATGTTTGTATGTATACGTGTATGTGAGTATCAATGTGTGTGTGTGTGTGTGTGTGTGTGTGTGTGTGTGTGTGTGTGTGTGTGTGTGTGTGCGTGTGTGTGTGTGTGTGTGCATGTATTTATGCATGTTGATTAGATATGGTGACAAATCTGGTGTGGTCTGGGCACATTCTCTGACTGAGTGAGGGTCTAGGTTGTTCCACAATTGTTGTTTGGTGGAGACAGATACACAAGAGAAGAGATGTTAACATTAACATTTCAGAATGTAAAAAGCTCACAAAAAACTAACAACATTTTCTGCTTGCAACCAAAGCTGTTTATGCTACACTTAATGTTTTTTGTCTGGTGGTCTACTTCTTTCTATTTCTGACCAGACTACAGAGGCAAAAGATGAAACTATTTTGCTTTTATGGTTTTCTCTGTAATGATCTCAGTTTCGATGACATTCTCTCTGGCAGCTGCTTCCTGCTCTTGTAGACGCAGCTCCAGCTGGGTCAGCTCTCTTTCAGGCTGTTTGTCTTCTCTTTTATGTTCCATGTTGGCAACAAAGCTAATAGTGTAGGCTTGAAGTGGTGTATGACCTCTGTGGTCTATGAGGATGCACTGCAGGCCAACAAGGCAGCCTGAGCATCCTCCATGCCCTCTCTGTGTAGCTCAGGATTAGTCAAAGACTTGCATAGCCTGATGTTGATTGGCCAGCGCAGTTCTCTGCTCAGTTTGAGTTCAAAGTCCTGGCTCTTCTAGCATTTGAAGTATGGACACGTTCTGTGTTTTGAAAAGCTTCACAAGGACACCTCTGATGGTGAATTATTAATCAGATTGATTTCTTCAAAAAGACTTTCAAAAACTGGTCAGGGTGAGGCTAACATGATTGAAGTATTTGGTCTCTACACTCAGGATGTTTTGCCTCTGTACTGAACTCTCTTGGCTGGGTTAAGTTTGTCAGTTTCTCTGGCAGCTAGTTGATATCATCTGCAGCTTACACCATCTCATGAGAATCAGCCACACAGTCCAAAGTTTGGCTACAGACACAACTTACTGGCTGGATAGAATAGGCTTGCTGAAATGGCCCCTGGTTCTCCAGGGTCTCTTCGTCTGATATCCTTAAAGGCTTTAAATGTGATTTTTCACACTTAAATAATATAAATCAAGTATATCCTCTGAAAATAACTCTGTGAGTCATGACTGTCTACAATGGGTGTAACACCCGAGTCCCACTGTCTGTGATGTTTTCAGAGTTTTCAGAGTCATATCTTCAGTTTGTTTACATCGCCCGGACAGCCGGCTGACTCCTCCCCTCGTGTATAAAAGTTGTTTAATTGAGGGACTAGAGAAAAGAAGAATAACATACTGTACTCACTGCTTAACTGTGTTTCTAGATCACGCTCATTTCAGGTAAATTTACATGCAGTGTGAAGATACCAGCATAATAAAGATCACTAGCATTAGCATGCTAACACAACAATGCAGCGCAAGTTGTTTTGGTTTCATGCTGGTGCTCAAGAGCGACATCTGCTGGATCAAAAAATCACATATAAAGCCTTTAATAAAGCCCTCTGAAAGACCCGAGACCGTCCTAATTTCAGTTTCCATATTACTCTGACATTTCCTTCTTGAAGTTCTTCTGGAGAAACTGTAAGAACAATAGGCTCTCCTCATTACAGCCTAGGATATCTAGGTGGGAGTCCACACATCTGCAGACTCGCTCATAAACATTTTCAGGAAGGCCTCAATGATTTGGTTTAGTGATGGAGTTCTGGGTCTGAGTTTGCTGTGCCAAACCTTTTTGCGATGCCGCAGTTGAAACGAAAAGTAGCTTCCTTTTTGCCATTTTTTTTTCTTTAAATCAAAATGACATCAAAGAGTCGTTGATAACAATACTGACTGAAGCATGTCCCAACGTCACCTCATGTCCTCTATTAAAAATTGTTCTAAATAAAGCCACAAAGACACACATTTTAAGTGTGTGTGCTTGATATTCAAGTTATTCAAAGTTATTGACAACTTCCTGAAATATAATAAGCCTTGTATAGCAGTGATTAGCCCCTCTTGTGGGGTTTACCCTTCAAATGGAAAGATATCAGAAACACAGTGATCAAAAAAAAGGGAACTTATGAAACAACATTAATGACACATGCCTAAAAGATGACGTTTCTTAACTGGGAAACAACCAGTTTGAGACATGTCTGTGACTGGAATCTAGATTTTTCCAAAGACTTAAAAACAATGTTATTTTCCCCTTAAGTCTCTGTTCTCCTTAAGCTTTTACGTCTGTCTTTTTACGATTAAATCAAAGTTCCTCAATTTGATTTGATGAGCTAAAATAAACTTCTTGTGCTTGTGAATTGTATGATTTTGTAACGATATATTTTTGGGAGTTTAATGCCTTTATTTTAGAGGAATGACAGTTATAGTTGAATATCAGGGAAATATAGAGAGAATGGTTAATGACATATGAGAAAGGAGCCGCAGGTCGGATTTGAACCTGGGCTGCCCGCTTCATGGACAACAGCCTCTGTACATGGAGCTGAAGTTGTTTTTTCAGATTCCAGCTTTCTATTGGCTAACATGACAGTCCACTGCACACTTTTGTAACAATTTATTCATGACAATTCTTGCAACTGATACTCAGTATACTAACAGATTTTCTTGCACAAAAGCATGTGTCTCATACATAGTAAAAGATAGAATCTTTTGTCAGACTAATGGGATGGTTGAATAAAAATGGGTTCATAGTATTACTCAAGAGAAATGCCAGCCAGGCTGTAAAATGGAAATCCTGCAATCTCTCCAGTCTGTAAGGAAGCAAGAATGTCCACGCTGGCTATAATTTGTTTAGATAACATTTGTCTTAATCTAGAGGCGGGAAAATGAGATGGAGAGATATGCAATCACTAAATATTTTTTCATTTATTTTATTGCACTTAAAAAGCAAAAAACAAACAAAAAAACAAACATAATAGATCAGTGGAAAAAAAAGTACATAATGATTAGTTAATTAACAAAATATACATTTTGAAAGAAATGTGCTGGAGGAGCCAAATACACCCAGAGGGGCGTGTCGAGTGGCCCTCCTAAAGAGAAACATGTAACACAGAGACAAAAACAATAAAGCTAACAAGAACACATACTCAGTAAGGTGTAAAAGAAAGCAAAACAAGAAAGAGACAAATTAAAGATGAGGGGAAAAGGAAAATAAGCTCTTATGGCAGAGAATGATTATGATGGCGCATTGGTTAATTGGCCAAGCAGGAAATAAATGGTTTGTTTTTTAAATAAGTTGAGACTGGTGCCAACAATGAGGTCCTCTGAATCTGATAGAGAATTGAGAAAACCATGTTCTGAAAAATGCAGAATGAAGTAAGCTGGCTGACCTTGTGTTGTAATGATGGATTTGAGAATTGATTTGAAATATATCTTGAAAACAGAAGGGGAGTAAGTTGTTGACTGATTGGAAAACAAAAATACATATCTGAAACTGGTTTAGGTGGAAGATGGGGAGAAGTCGTAGGGACTGGAACAAAGGAGTAGAGCTGCTAAATCTGTTGGAGAAAGTGATCATTTTGTATCACTTCATAAATAACAACTTCAGAAATAAATTCTTAGCTGAACATGTAGCCTAGACTCTGATCAACTGACATCTCTCTGATTCATCCATAGAAATGCTCAAAGAACCATTATATTAGTGATACAAAGAAAATCTGAGATTTTCAGCTCAAATTTCTCACTACCGTAGATTTAAAGGCAAAGCAGTGCTGATCATCGATTACCTTATAAGCAATAAACAGATCCAACCTTTGGCATCTGGTAATAACTGCTAATCAAATAATAAAAATGTTTTCTTTATATTGATATTAAAACTATTCATGTGAGCAGGGCTATTTTTGCATTCTATAGTTGGGATGTATAGCTGATTTTCTTCAAACGGATACAAAAAAGATTTTCAGCCTCCAACTGCAGGTCATTTCAAGATAATTTCTCCCACTGGTTTCAACTGAATGACACAGAGAGAATGAGTCATGATGAACCTGTAGAGGACATTAAGTGGAGTGGGGTCATGGAGGGCTTTAATGACTGAGCATAAGGTCAATTATGACACGGACAAAAGGGACAAATGTCATGACGAGGGAAGGTTTTTAAAAGTTGCAAACGTCTGCTCTATTTTCTTTCAGATCAATTTTAAATACGTTATAAAGCGAGCCTTCAGTTTCATTGATCTTTGTACAGTGGGGTGTAAATGTCTCCTTCAACTTCAACTGTTAATCAATAGCCTACGTAGTGTCAGAAATCTAGCCTATGTTTATTTGTTCCTCTTCTTTCAAGTTAAGACTGAAATGTATGCAGCGATTCACTGAGTATAGCATAATAGTAAGTCACGGTAAATTGCGACATCTAGTGGTCTTATATATGAATATTTTGTGACACATGATTTCTCACATTTGCCTTATTTTAGACACAACTTTCTATGCGACAAATATTCACTATTGGACACTATTCAGTAGCCTACAGCAGACTGGATAGCTGCTTCCTTCACATCAAGTTTAAAGGAAGTATCATCCCAAGAGTCAGCATAGCAGATAATATTAAATGTTGGGATCCCCCCCCCCCAAGAAAATCGATTTGGTAAGGTGTTACGTTTATTCATCCGTTAGCGCGGAAAATATTGTGTAACAGCAGATATGTGGATAATATATTATAGCCTACTGCCGTTTGCCAAAACAAAGAGAAGTAAGTGTACTCCATGCAAGCATTGAGTATGAGTACGAATTCATATTTTAGTTCCTTTTAAAGTTTTACATTTAAAGTTTTCTATTTGTAGTAGTTACCGCTTATTAAGGAAAAGCCCTTGTGTACTTCTGTGGTCCGGGAATTTAGAGAAGCACTTAAATGCAACATGACCTGATGGCAGCAGCAAAGACGGTCCCTTTGAAGTTTCGTTTTGCCCGCTGAAATTGAATCTGCCTCCTCAGTCCTGAGGTAGTTATGACATTAATGGTAAATTGTTAATACCTTTTTACGTTGGGGTGTATTAATTTACTATTTTTGGGACGGTATAGACGAAACTGTAAAAACTGTAGGATAAAGTGACATAAAATAAACCTGTTCCGGATAAGTAGGTAAGTCACCACTTCATCAGTTAGCTACATTGTTGCAAACCTCCTTAATATTTTTTGCTAACCTCCTTTATCGAAATGCTAGTTGTCAATGTTAGCAGAGATATTTTCTTCTGAAGAAATAGTTATTGAGCATAGCTACTTATGCACATGCAAACTAGATAGATAGCCTAGTAACAAGCTAAACCTTCATCGAAATATGTCTGTTATGGTTCTGATGGCAGGCAAAACCCAGAATAAATATCTTGAATCAAGCCTAGGCTGCCAGTACATGTAGGCAGGGGGCTCTAAATATAGGCCTTTGTATAATTGCCCAGTTATTTATGGATAAAAGGTGAAGCCTAAATACAAAACAGATCTTCATGATTCAGATAGACAGTAACTATTATTTATTCTCCATTGGCTCTGTTAAGACGTTTTATT